GGGAATATAAACCCTGTGTGTGTGCACCATGTATATCTAAGATCATATTTTCTTGTGAGAAAAAGCTAAACCCTTATTTTCATAATAGGAAAATCAGTCAACATCAAATAAATTGATTTATATTTAAAACAATGGTCCATGGTCATATTATATTTAGAACGATGGTCCATGGTCACATATATAAGCATTTGTTGAGTAGATTATCCATAGAAATAATAGGAATAAACTTTCCTTTATGCTTCCTGAAGGGCTGCAAACTGCATCATTTCCAAAGCATTTTCACTGATAGCTCAAAACAGTGCCCAAGAATTGTTTCTTTTATCTCTCCTCTTCCAGATGTCACCAAAGATGATAAAGAAGACACATGAGTCACAGGGTTCTAGAATTTTGAGGGAGACATAAGAAATAGCAGAGATGGTCCCTGGAGTAGGCCAAACTATGAGGATAAAGTCATTCTTCCAAACTGCCAATGCTGCCTACGACTTCTGACCCCAGAGGCAACAAATTAGGACCCAGTGACAAAATTAGAGGGAAGAGACCACAATGTTTTCCACACTCTGATATTAACTGAGTTCAAGGATTTCCCCGGAATCTCCCTGGAGTTTCATTAAAGCACTAGAAGACTCACAAACTCAGTGACGCCTATTATATTCACAGTCACATGTACCACACACTGAAATCAGCCAAAGGAAGAGTCACAGAGGGCAGAGCCTAGGAAAGTCTCAGACACGAAGCTTCCATTGTCCCCAGGATGCACCACCCTTCTAGTTCAACGTGTAACTACACACACAGTTTTGTCAACCTTGCCTGAGTTTCCATGTCTAGAATTTTACTGAGGCTTCAACACATAGGCAAAATTGGTTAATTGTCCGTATGGATGAAGACAGTCTCTAGGTCAACGGATCCCATATGACCCAAATTTCTCCATAAATCATAAGGTTGATTTTTCCAGTCCCCACCCTAAGACTATTGAGTATGACCATCCAAAGGAAAGAACAATGAAGGAGGAGAGGCAGGGATGTGGAGAAGAAAGAAAAGGAGAAAGCTTTCTTCTGGAAAGGAAGTGATTAATTTCCTTAGTTCATGACCACTACGCAGTAATAACTGTCATTTGTTTTGCCCTCCACATGAGCCAGAGCATTTGTATGCTTCTTATACTTCCCAACTAGAAAGAAAACACTGCAGGACTGGAAACTAGATCTTCTGTCCCCACAATACAATGCACAGTATCTGTTCTCCAGAGTTATAGCCTTCTTCTTCCTTTTACTCTGACTCTGCAAATTTTAGACTTCTGAAGTGCTCATGACAACCTTTTTTCTTCTCTGTTAACTTCACATGACTCTCGTTAAGCTTTGTGACAAATTAAGTAAAAATATTCGAATCCAATAACTTTGTAACCTGGGAACAATAATTCTGGGCCAAAATTTATTGCCATCGGGATATGTAAATGTTTGCTTTGTTCTGAATTTTGTCACAAGGAAGCAGTCATTTGTTTCTTAGACCTTTTCCTTCTCATTCCCTCCACTCCTTCCACTACCTATTGGTGGGATTGATATTTGCATCAAAGAGCTAACAAGAGATCTTCACTGAATGCAAACCAAGGATTTCTAGGCTTGGGTATCAAGGGCTGGTGAGAAGCAGGTGCAGGGCATTTGACACCAGTGTTTAGATTCTATCTGCATTTGATTCCTATGATGGCACTTTCTGTCAGCTACTCTAATAAAAACTTACTAACTAGCATCGCTTTATCTAATTATTTTTTTTAACTTTTTTTAAAGAAAGAGAGAGAGAGAGAGAATCTTTTTTTTTTTTTTTTTTTTGTAGATGGACATGACACAATGCCTTTATTTTTATTGGTGCTGAGGATAGAACCCGGGTCCTGCCCATCCTAGGCAAGCGCTCTACTGCTGAGCCACAATCCCAGCCCCTATATAATTCTTATTGAACATTACTAGAAGCAATAATCCACATAGAATAAAACCAGCACTGATTAAAACTGTAGAATTTGTTATGAATGAAAACCCAAAGAATTAGAAGTGGGAAACAGATTTTATAGAAATATTTTTTAATAGCATCTACTTTTCCTAAAATTGCACATGACTTAAAATGCTTATTAGCTGAAAGAGAATGGAATAAACAGGTCTTGATACATTTGTTTAATCTGACCTGAGAAATAAGCTTGGTAGAAATAATTTTTGTGAAAGAAAACTCAAAAATCACAAAATATATAAGTAGGTAAAAGTTGAGTCAAAATAAGTAAATTACACTAGATAATAATTGACTCTAATAATAATTAATATTAATAATAATTCTTTTATTGAAACTAAGATAAAAATGATTTATTAGAATATCATCAAAAATTGAAAAAAAGATTAGTTCTTACAAAGCTTTTTCAGTCAAAATTCATCAATTTTGATGGAATTCTTAATTAAATTATTTTATATAATATCTATGGAATCGATGTGGAAATCCAAAACAGAGGGGTCAAAACAGCAAGGTCAAAATCTTATTTATTCTTTGGTTCCTTTCTTGTGAGACTGATGTAAAACTATATAACCATTAATATTATCAGATATAAGGAGTTGCTGTTGAGAATAAGATCAATATCTACAAAAAGTTACCTATGCAAATAATTTGAATTTTATTTTTTTCACATCATCTAAAGTAGAAGTTCATTGGATTAGATAAAGGGGAATGAAGGGAAGGGGGATGGAAATAGAAAAGATAGTAGAATGAATCAGACGTAACTTTCCTATGTTCATGTATGAATACGTGACCAGTGAAACTCCACATCATTTATAATCACAAGAATGGGATCCTAATTAAAATGTTTACTCCTGTTTGTATAATATGTCAAATTACACTCTACTGTCATGTATATCTAAAAAGAACAATTTTTTAAACTTAAAAAAAGAAAGAAAGAAAAAGATGTCAAATCTTGTCTTGTGTATCTGCTTGAGTTTGCCTAGGACCTGAGACATTAAAGCAGACAAGAGCAGATGGTGAGCTCAATTGCTGGAGTCCTCCTTACCTCAAAAGTTCTTGCAATGACTTACAAGGCCCCACATGATCTAAATCCCCTCCTATGACCTCATTTCCTTCCACAGCACCCCCTAAATATTTTCCTGCCACACATGCAATAGAGGAGGGCCAGGGGAGGGAATGAAAGGAAAAGAGGAGGACTTTAAGTATTTTTGATCTAACTTGTAGAAGATTCTACATCAGCTTACCAGATTTTGAGTCCCAGTTCTCACCTTGAAATGCAGATGTGTCCACTCTTGAGCCTGCTCTTCTAGTGCCATCCCCATAAGCATCCTCTCCAGCCTCAAACTAACTTTAAACATGAAATCCCGCCCCCAACTCCAGCCTCGTGCTTAGAGCAACCACCTGCTACCAGGCTAACCTGAGCTGCCCGCTAAAATGGCTCTGTCACATAGGCCCCATCCTATATTTGTTACCTTCATCTCTGTTTGCCTGCACTGTCACCATAACGCCCCAGTAGTAGGTTTAATCTGAATGAAATAAATTTCTGTGACCCACTCTTGATTCTGACTCTACCCCAGACACCTGACCCAACCCTGTGTCCATGTCTGATTCAAACTACAAAAACTCCCTGTCTGCCACATCCCTGTTCTTTCTCAAGCCAGTCATAACAAGATGAGCTGCTCGCTTCTTTCCCATCAGCACATTCACCATCAAGCTGTTCCAGCCCTGTCAGGCAGTGTTCCAGGAGGCCCTGGAGACACGTGGTGATGCAGAAATGGCTAGGAAGTCCCTCTCAGAGGTCTCTGAGTTAAGTTGAGGACACTATAGATTCCATGAGTTGAAGAGGTCAAATTCTTTATCAAAACCCCACTGTGTCCAGACAGTGCCCCATCCCCAAATCTTTCTTCTTTAAAACAAGACAAAACTATTCTCCCTTGATCTCCCCACTCCTACCCTCCTCTCCTCCTTCTCTCCTCAGTCCAGTCAGATTCACTACAATTGGTGGCTCACTGAATTCCATTTCCATCTCTGGTTCCCACTTTGCCTGGCAATTCTAAATTCACGATTCACACTTGTTCTGTAGAGCTAGCTTTCCAAAGGAGTCTTGAGTTTCACAATTAATGGACATGTTACAAAACAAAAATAAAACAGAACATCACCCTGGGTTAAAGCCATCTCGTGGCTTTTTTTTTTTTTTTTTAACCAGAAGTGGGGATTTGTGATATAAGCAGCTGCTCCAAAACCAAACAAACGACAGCACTCAACTCAGAGTTTGAGCCTATCCAGGGGCTGAATTATGTTTGCTTTGAGGTTTTGTGAAAGGTCGTGAGGCCTAACAAAGTTCAGATGAAACTTGGCTGTTTTTCTGTTAGGCTCTGGCTCAGAACTTGTGGCGTTTCATGTGGTTTGGAGTTTTCAAACACAGCGCTTTGCACAGTGCTAATAAATGATTTTTTTTTTTTCTCAGCATGGAAAGCAATTAAATGTATGGCCTCTTGGGTTTTGGTCTTAGAATCAGTATTTATTTATTAGGAGCTGGGAGAAGAGCTAAATGGCCTAGAAGAGGGATCACACATAATGAGGTGGGTAAATTTGCTGAAGACACCACATTTTTGATGACTGGAGGCCTAAAAAGCAAGAGAGGAACTCCTGAGGAACCCATAAAGTTAGGCCACTGGGAAAGTTGCTAATGAATGGAATTTAGCATCGGTCCACAAGGAACAAGTTAGAATGGCTTGCAAAGCCCCAGGAAGGCCACATGAAAGGACCCCAGCACCATCTGTCTTCAACCTTCACCCACCACTCTAAAGGGGTCCCCTGAGCTTTCCCCGCCTTGCATCCCCCTCTTGGAGTGTCCTCTAGCAGGAGGCCTCTCACAGGCAATCAGCTTGCAGTCACCCTCAGGCTCACCCTGGGGGAGCCCCTCCCAGCAAGTCTCCCTGTAGCTGTTGTCTTTTAACAAAGAGAATGCATTCGTTTTCTAGGGCTGTAATTATAAAGTACCATAAACCAGATGAATTAAACAACAGAAATTTATTTTCTCACAGTCTGGAAGCTAGAAGTCCAAGATCAAGGTGTCATGGTGGCCTCTCTCCTTGGCTTCTTTCTGTGTCTTCACCTGGTCTTCCCTCTGTGTATATCTGTGTTCTAATCTTTTCTTATAAGGACAGCACTTGTATTAGATTAAAGCCCACTTTTAAAGCCCTCATTTAATGTCACCCCTTTAAAGACTGTCACCAAACACAGTCACATTCTGAGGTACTAGGGGTTAGGATGTTACTATGAATTTGGGGGGACACAATTCAGTCACCACAGGAGGCCTCATCCCTCCAGAATAGTAATGTACCTGTTTGAGCTGTGCCACTAAACCAACTCCCCAGCCATAGAGCAATGATGAGGTGAAATATTCCCTGATGGCAGGAGAGCTCATCTTCTCCTTGTACTTCATGCCTTCTCCTGGGCCTCAATTTGATCAAACCTAGAAAAAGGAAACGAAACATTGATACAGAGGCCTACGTAGGCAGAAGGAAAACACATCTGCAATTCATTTATTTTCAGGGAACAATTGTCTGCATACTAGAATAGATTCATAAAGACAATTCTCCAAATAATTCTTCACTGTGAGCCCAGGAGCATTCACTTATGGCTTCAGTGAAAAAACTTACAGAGCATGTATTATGTTAGATCACTGGAGGTACCGCTGGGTTCTCACAGGGCTTATGTTTCAGTAGGAAAATCTCACAATAAGCAGATAATTTGATAGATAACAAATCTTCATTGCCTGGCATAAGGCACCTAGCAATGATGAGTCAATCAATTGCATTAATTCTGCCAGTTCTTTATCTGCTCCCCTAACCATGTGTCCTTTGCCACGTGACTTTTCAGTTCCTGTCATCAAGAAGTACAAGCTATTTAGTCATGACACACTTTGACCAATAGGATGTTGATAGTTGTGACACACATCTATTTAATATATAGGCTTAGAAAAAGCCTATATATTCCATTCCTTTTCCGCTCTTGCCTCTGGGCCATTGTGCCATGAACCTGCTGCAGCAATGGAAGACACAGTAGAAGAAGAGTTTCATCAAACATGGCTTGTCCATGGGCCAATCCTCAGAACTCATCAAACATTACTTGACCATGGGCCAATCCCCAGAAGCTAACAGATTTGATGACCTTCAGATATGTGAGCAAGCCCAGCTGAGACCAGAAAATTTCCAGCCTATGTCATCAACCTAGAGACTTCTCAGCTAAATAAATGTGTCCCATTCGGAGCCCATTTAGAAGTGCCCCCATAATCTGATCCAGGCATTTAAGGCTCCTAATGAATCAAAGCATTACCTGAAAGGGGTACACAACTAGGCATTATTGGCCTTTAACCCCCTGGCTGGCAAAGAGCACCTAACATCAGCTTGTCAAGCTGTGAGAGATGGGATAAGGATTAGAGATAGAGGGTGGATAAAATCTTTACGCTAGGGGATAAAGGTGATATGAGTAATGAAATGGTAAATAGGCTTAGAGAAAAATTCAGAACCATTGATTGGCCTGCTTAAAATACTTCTGGGACTCTCTGAGGCCTTCAATATAAAATCCAGGTACTTTATTCACAGCATACAGGGAACATACAAGGCCCTCCAATCTGGTATGAACCATTTTCCATGCATATCTATTCTCTTCTGAGTCACAAAGGACTAAGTTCCAGAGACTGTATCCACCAATCTCTACTCTATGGCTTCTCATTGGGTTTGCCAATGGAAGGTTAGAGTAGAAGATCGAAAAATGGGAAGACCCACCTTTAAGTCAGAGATTGCATTCCTCTGGCTCTGTCCCTGCTGAGTTATATTTTGGCCATAGTGTCTTCTTGGTTTTATTTTATTGTAGACTGTAACTTCTAACAGGTGGTGCCCTCCCGTACGTAGTACAACCTTTCACTACCTCTCAGTGACCCTTCCCTCCCATGGCACCCAAGTCTAGGGATGATGACACTTGGTGGTCACTAGTCCTGGGAGTTTACCAGCCCTTATTGCCTTCAATTAACCCAGCTCAAAGCTGTAAATTCACACTGTGTAAAAGGTCTTTTCTACTTTGCAGCATTCTCTTTAAGAAGGCCATCTGTTTCCTCCTGGAACTTTCCCAGTGCCCACCTCTTCCAGCCTAGCTGATTATGCACCGTTCTCCCCTCTAGACCCCACATTCCAGCCACCGTTGCATCCTCTGCCATTCTGCCATACTCTTGCTTCTGTTGTACCCTTTCCCTCTTTCTTGGCCAGACTTTCACACAAACCAAAAGTATAAATTAAAATGTCACATTTTTCAGGATAATGTCCCTAACCATTGCCCCACTGTCACACTATCCCCCCTCAACTGAGTTAGGTGCCTCTCTTGTGCACTCCCAACACAGCACCCATCCTATTGTTTAAGGCTCATCTATGAGTACATCTGAATCTCCACCATGGGCAGAAAGTTGTTAGATCCTCTTTCCCAAAACTTGTGAATATGCTGGGTTAAATGGCAAAGGGTAGTCAGGGATTCCTAATCAGACTTAAAGATTGAGGGGATCGTCCTGGATAACCCAGGTGAGCCCAACATAATCACGTGGTCCTTAAAAGGGAGAAAGAGAGCATTGGGAGACTTTAGCCATTGCTCCATCCTTTGAAGATGGAAGGGACCACAAGCTAAGGAAAGTGGGGTGGTATCAAAAGCTAGAGATGGCAACAGGCTCTTCCCTAGAGGATACAGCAGGGGCCAAGCTGCTCAGCACCTTGATTTGGGTAAGATTTATTTTGGACCTCTGACCTCCAGAACTGTTGTTTAAGCCACTAAAGTATGGTAAGTTGCTACAACAGCAGTATAAAACTAAACAGATCCTTGAGGACAGGGATCACATCTTATGTTCATGTCTTCCAAGCTCCTCCCACAAAACTAGTCTTGGAGTGGCTCATGAACATCCTTGTTGAAGAAAAGATAGAATGTAAAATTATCTGGTTTGACCCATTGTTTCTGGATCCTTCTAGGTCCATTGTCCATGTAGCAACAGTTTATCTGAAAGAAGAGATCTGCATTTGTCCATAAAATTTTTAAAAATAGCTTGTAGTTATTAATCTACCATGTAATCACTGAGAAAAATAACTGAGCCAGTTGCCAAGGAGAACAAGGAGCAGGAATGTGAAGGCACTCACGATGTCCTTCCTCTCAGGAAAGCAGCTGTGGTAACAGTGGCCTGCCTCAGGACATGCCCAGCTCCCCATATGGGCAGGGAAGGAACAAATTGTTCCTGGAGCAGCTGGCCCTGGTTTTGGCTGGATCTGGATTCCTGGGCTTCATAGGCACTGGTTGCTACAGTTTGGCAAGCACCTCCAGCTCTGGCTTTTCCAGAGGCCTGTTCTATTGCTAATCTGGAGCAGACACCTCCTATCATCACCATGATCTTGTTCTTATAGCAGCGTCAACAGCAGACAATCTGCAAATCCCACAACCTGGTCATGAAATGAGAGCAAATGCCTTGGTGGAAAGTCCATGTGATTTTGCTGAAAGCTCTGGACCAGGAGCCAAGAACCCAGGGGTCCTCTCTGGTTGTGCCTCTAGCCAGCTATGTGACCTTGACTGATTTCCTCATGTAGCATATGAAAGAGGAGGACTTATGCAGTCACTGAAGTCTCCTGCAGTCTAAGTCTATGACAGTTATACAATTCCCAAACGCACTGACACTTAAAAAATACCAGTGACAAATTGTCCTCTCTAATGAGAGCATTTCACCAAGGCAGAAAATAAAGAGACTGAGAACATTGGGGAAAAAGAAGAGGGAAGGAAGGAAGGAAGGAAGGAAGGAAGGAAGGAAGGAAGGAAGGAAGGATTGAGTACCTAATAAGTACCAGCTCCTTTTGCCTATTCTAGCTCAAATATGCTCTAAGCCAGACTCTCACAAAACTGTCAAGTAGGAAAGGCCCTCCAAGTAGGAAATCTGAAGTCTCATTTTATCTTAAAATTAATGTGAATGTTGTGTTCTGCTCCATAAACAGTTTTCATTTCTTTTTTTTTCTTCCCTTTTTTATTGGTTGTTCAAAGCATTACAAAGCTCTTGACATATCATATTTCATACATTAGATTCAAGTGGGTTATGAACTCCCATTTTTACCCCAAATACAGATTGCAGAATCACATCGGTTACACAACCACATTTTTACATAATACCATATTAGTAACTATTGTATTCTGCTGCCTTTCCTATCCTCTACTATCCCCCCTCCCCTCCCCTCCCATCTTCTCTCTCCACCCCATCTACTGTAATTCATTTCTCTCCTTGTTTTTGTTTTTTTCCCATTCCCCTCACAACCTCTTATATGTAATTTTGTATAACAATGAGGGTCTCCTTCCATTTCCATGCAATTTCCCTTTTCTTCTGAGGACTAAAGCTGTTGCTGCAGGAAGACCTATCTATTAAACCTGAGGGGTACAAACCCTCAGCCCACTTCTGTTTCTCTCTAACATGGAACACTCCAATTGTGGAGGCAAGAACCTGAAAACTGAGAGGCAGGACTTATTCCTTCACCTTATCTAGGCCATGAGAGGGCTGGAGGTTATCCAGATTTTTATAGCCAGAGAAATCAAGCAAATGAGGTAAAACTCAACTAACCCAAAAATTCTGCTTTATAAAATTGTGATGAGAGGTTTATTGAGACAGTCCTGACTCCACCACAGACTGTGCCAGAATAGAGGCCATATCTGTTTATTACTTATAGTAAAGCATGCTAATAACTCTGTCTGCAGCATTGTTGGGAACTTGTAAAGGCAGGTTTGGGGGCGTTCAATCACAAATTCTGTAGAAGTTGGGACAGGGGAGCAAATGCCCCAGGAAATGGACACTGTGTGCTTAGGACTTAAGCAGGAGGCTCAGCCAACAAGAAACCTTAGTCATCAGAAGGAGGAGGACATGATGGGACTTAGTCACAGACCCAGCAGAGTAGGGAGGAAATCCCACGTGAGATTTCTGGAAGACCAATGAGGGCCAAGTCTAGATGCAAAGGAACTGTTGGTGGTGAATACAGCAAGTCCCATAAATCATCCTCAGGACTGTGAGGGGGAAATGAGGTAGTACCTGTCTGCCATATAGTCAGTGCCAGGGTTTGCTAGAAGTATCATAACTTATCAGGTCACCTGCCTTGGGGGCAAAGTCAACCATCAGGACCATAATACAAAACCGGGCAGCGGGCAGGACAAGGGAACTGGGCCTACACTTGCAAAGCTACAGGCATTCTGAGGGGGGAGGGGGAAATACAGAACAGATCCAGAGTCCAATAAGTCTGAATGGAAGAGAACTTTGTCCTGGGCTGGTAGGAGCTGAGTTGAAGGATTCCACCCAATGCTGAGTACAAAGAAAATGAGGGTCGCAAAACAAGAAGAGCAAGTAACAGGAAATGGGAAGGGCAATAGGGAAGGACACAGGCTTACAGATAGGTTTAAATCCCAACTACCACACCT